GCTGTGAATTAAGAAGGTGTCACGATAGTTTTGTTTCAGACTGGGTCTGAAACATCAGAGTCTCTTCTATGGCTATTTTCTGGGTAGTTGTAATGTTCTAATATTTTTCAGGCTTTTGATTAGTGTGACAAAAAAACTTTCTTCATTTCCATCTTCATTTCCTTCTAGTCTCTTAGCATTGTATCGCTAGACAGAGTACTTTGTCTATTTTAATACATGACTGATCTTTTCAGACCCATTTCCATTGCTGGGTGTGCACTACAATTGCTAACTGTATTATACCATTCAATATGGTGCACAGCAGTCCATCAATCTTCTTTCTTCATCTAAGGGCAGAAAATATATAGTAATTGTTTAATAAATCTGCCATTCCTTTATCTGAGTCTTCCAATTCCCCATTTGCATTTTTAGTACTTTTATCTTTAGGGCTGGCTGGTCATCTAACCAAGACAGGATGATAGCTAACTTTTATAGTACAAAAAGCAATAGGATTCTATGGTGAATTAATATTTTTTTTATTAATAACATATAGTAAATCTTGATGGAATAGTTAATGTCATGCATAGCTCCAACCCCTGCAGAACTTGTCTTGGGTACCTAGGATGCATAATACGCTCTTCATTTGCCTCAGTCCTGTAACCCAAAGAAATTTCTTGCATTTTGGCACAAATAATTTGGCAACAAATTCAGGGCTGAATTCCAGCAAGGTCAGCTTCTCCTGTATTCTTATCAACTATTCTTTTCAAGAGGATTACCATACTTTTAATGACAATAGTGGCACATTATTGTTACAAGGAATTCTTTTTCGTTTCTTGCTGAGCAGCGACAGGTTCACCAGGTGTGATCTTATTTTTCTGCTACAGTATCAGAGATATCATGTTAGTTGAAACTAATCATTTTTATGTGTAGTTATTTATGAATTGATAAGAATTTTATGGCATGAAGAAATATAGAAGTTCTACCTAAGAAAAAGGAAAAGCACACAGGTTTTCAGTTTGTATATTACCACACTTGTGTTTTACACCTCATTCTGTGCTATGCTGAAGCTTAAGAGCACTCCATTCCCTAGCTGAAGTTTAATTTTCTATTAATTGCTTGCCTTCTGAACTTTGATCTGTGTGATAGGGAGAATATACAAGGAAGCATTATCACTGGTCTTGCTTATATATGTTCTTCTTGCCATTTCTGAACAGGAGATTTTGTTGTGAAAACCTGATTTAATAGTGAAAATTTTCAGCATTTAGGAAGCATGAACCTCTGCACGTTCATAAAGCAAATCTCATCAGCAAAACAGCTTTTTGTTTCAAACATCTTTGACCCAACCCTCCTATTCTTCAGGCTTAGGTCAGAAAGTAAAAGCAAGTTCAAGATCTCTGTCTTCATCTTAAGGGAACTCTGTAAGTCTTAAGATATCTGAAAGAATTTAAGAAATTACAGCATAAAACCTGTTTTGGAAAACTGGCATGATGCACCATCCCACTTAGAATTAAATCTCATTTTGGATGACAATGAAACTGTTAAAGGCTCTGCTTGAGACTGTGGACTAGACGGGGAATTTTGACAAATACAAGTCTCATGTCCCCTCTCTTTACAGTATGTCCTTGCTAGAATAAATACATTTCTACAGACAGAAATGAAGAAAAAATCTCCAAACCAAACACTTTTATAAGCAAATTGGAGAAGTCACTAAGTCAAGACTTTGATTGCCTGCGCTCCTGAGGGACTGTTAATAAATGGAAACACATGGCTGGTATTTAGCTATTTTGCCTAAATGAATACCCAGGAAGTATTAAACGCAACCTTTGGATGATTTCCATAGAACTGCCAAAATATATTGCTGCTTGCTACTATTACAACCTACATCAACATTCAGAAGCAATATAAAATCCCTCATTTATTTTGAATAGAGTGCCAAAGCAAGAGGAATAAGCAATTTTGAAATAATTAAGTACAATAATATGACACACAGCTTTGGCCTTATGCTTCAGGGAACCAACAGATTTTATTTTTGTGGGAGTAGAGGTACATAAGGGAGTATGCAGTGGAAGAATTACTGCTTTAATGTTTGCATTTTCAATATAATGGGAAAAACAAATACAAAAACTTTTGTAGTTAAGCTGAAAAAATATTCCTTCATGGAATCTTCTAGTGCAATTTTTTTCAGACATAGAGTGTCTGACCAAATAGTAAGTATGTGACATGAATCAGGCTTCGTGTGGCATGTGGTCCAACACAAGCTGCACGAGCAGGTAAACTATCTCAAATTTTAAAAGAAAATATTTTAATGCTGACAAATGAGCACAGAAAGAAACAAAACCGTGTTTTATATGGAACAAAGACAGATTCTAAGACTGTAGATCTTAAAAAGTAGTTACAGGAACACTTGATCCAGACTCATGATAGAATTCCTGCTTGAAAGTGGCATTGCCACATCCAGTTAATTTTCTGACTTTTAAAGAACTACATGTGCATACTATAAGAGATCTTCCTGGAGTGAGATTTCTCTGTGTGTATGAATATCTCTCTTTTCTCTTCTCCTATAATAGACAACCTCTTTCTTATTCTTCATTCTGCTTCTGATTCACCTAGGAATTTTAAATTCCTTTCAATTTTTCAGAGTATTCCATATTTAAAACTATTCTCATTGCTTCTGTTGTTCTTGATTATTCAATTATACTTGATAATTGGTCTTTGTTGCCCTATTTTCTTTTAATTTCACCTTGGGTGAATTTCAGTTATCTTCTATTATTCTCCTTGCAAATTTTGATCGTATTTTTCGTAGACTATTTTACATTTTTATAAGATACATATATTTAAAAAATAGGTTTTTTTAATTTTTTTTAATTTTTTTTTAGTGCTCTCATTTTTGGATGTTTATATTGAATGACAGTGCTTTATTGAAGTATTAAAATAAAATATTAAATATTCACCTGCTTTACTTTTTCCCATTTGGCATATGAGTTCATGGACAGCCTTGCTCCACATTCCCTTGGCAGGAAACCTAAAGGATTAATCTCACTCCCTTTTAAAGCCAGTGGCAGAAATCCTTCTGATTTATCTAAGGGGAAAATTGAGGCTTCTTGTAAATACCCCTAGAAATGTCTCCCAAGTTCCAGATGTGCAGTTCTTCTCCCAAACAATACCCCTGCATTTTTCACAGATCTCATGAAACCTTTCTACAGACATTCAGCAGTATACATCATTCATCTAACAGGCAAAATGAACAGGGTAACTTTCCTGTATTTCTTACCATCTGTCATTTGTTACCTTTACAACTGACCTCCCTGCCCTGCTTTTCTCTATAAGTTTGATAAAACGTGCATTCTTGTATTTTTTGTCCCATACAATGTTTGCTCTTCAGTCAACCTTTGATATATTAGAGTGAGCAGGATATTTGGAAAAAAAGGCATGTGTGGGGTTTTTTGCCTTTCTTTTTTTTTTTTTTTTTTGTTAAGTAATCAGTGTTTTCTAAATATCTTCATGTAGGTAAAAAGTAAGCCAGTCCTTGCTATATGTGTCACACCCACGTATCATGGTTTATACCTGTAGTTAAAGCACAGATGATATCACTAAATAAAATCTCTGAAGTCTGTTAAATGGCTGTGCTTCTGCAATGATAATGTCAGTAAAAGCCTGGAACTGCTATGAAAAAAACAAATATAAAATTGAATAATTTCTTTTTCTGCCCTGTAACAAAAAACTATTTTTGGGAAAAAGAAACCTAAAATTGTTTTGTCTCAGCAATGTATATGAAGTTGGTCTCTGTTCAGGAGGAGAAAAAAAGACTGGAAGCATAAGGCAAAATAATAAAGTAGTATTTTGAATTATTTTTCTACATGACATGTCTATGAGCCACTTAATTCTGTATCTGTATGGGATTTAAAATAAAAAAGATCCACATAACAGAAACAAAACCATGAGCCAACTTGAGACTTGAATCATAAATTAATTCAGGGATTTCTACAGAAATAACCAGTGTATCTACTTGGAAAAGCCATTGTACAGGATATATCTTCCTCTAGCTTGCTTTGGGTGATCAGCTACATGAGTGCAAAATGTTCCAGGTAGAGGCTCAATGGGGACAAAAGAGTTCTGATCCTAGTGAAGTGCTAGACTTTAACAGATCCCAGTAGAGCTCAGGCTTCACCTGAGGAGTCAGGAGGCATTCCTAGTTGTCCTGGTTGCAGGCTTGGAACTGAGAGTGGGGAAAATTGATATGAACTGTACTAAGCCACTGCAGATAACGACTCACAGTGATTGCGATAAACTTTCAAGGAATTAATTTACTGTGTGGGAAGGGAATGCAGCAGTGAATGCATATGCACTCTCCCTACCCTGCACTACACCCCTCTCTCTCCTCAAACTGTCTTTTGTAGTGACCACTGAGGTTCTATACCTATAAATATTTAAATTCTGATTTTAGAAAGAACTGTTTCCCCAGTAGCCTCAGAAATCTTATTCCATGTTCTCAATCTTATTGCTGGAACAGTAAGTTCATTTGTAAGGCATCAGGAAACATGATATTTGGTATGGAGGTCCTCTGAAGGTCTGGGAACACCGTTTCTTCAAGAGGGAAGGATCCACTTGCTAACTAACTGCTCAGTATCATACCTGTAAAATTTTTGCTTCTTGACAATGAGCAACAGCAGAAAGGTTCAGATCAGCAATCAGGCTGTATCCTTAGATCATGGGTGATTTAAAACGTTTCAACATCTGTGGTCAAATATACCAGGCAAGGAACAGAATAGGACAACTATGAACTATAAGCTGGTTTTGAACTATTTTGCAAAACCAACATTGATATAAAATATTCTACCCTATAATGATACAGAATATATATATATATAAAATAATATATTAATTATGAAAAAAACATCCATCTAGAGAATCTTTGTTTTGTTTAGGTTGATTTCAGTTTGGACAAATGGGAATCTGGAAATCACTTTACTGTTGCCAGTGTATAATACTATCTGTTTCTGAGTTTTATTGTATTTCCTCTACAGCTGTGATTTGTGACCATTTGCATTTTTGCTGACAGGTACTAAGGGTAAGTCAATATTTATAAAGTACTTTTTCCTATGCCTTCCTTTTACTAGAGACTTTCCCGGTTGTAATGAGCTCTTTTTTCAGAAAGTGAAATACAATTTGAGTGCACATGCCAACAATAATTGTACTTGTCAGAAGAAACAGATAACATTATAACTGCCTGAAATTTAATCACAAGAAATGCGATAATTCATATGGGAAATCATGTTTTACAATTTCTTTCTTTCCATGTGGTTTAAAGTAGTTAAGGGGGGGAAAATTGTTCTGTTTAGGCCAAGCATGCAAGAATGGCATAGAAAGGCAATTTAAGGCAAAGCTTTTCAAATGTATTGGTGGCTCCTGCCAACAAAAACATACCTGAGATTACAACAATAAAAACACCATATGAGAAGTTGAAAAAAAGTAATTATATATAATAGTTGTATAAAATACTTTGATTTAATTTTGAATTTTAAGATTTTTCTTTTAAAATTTTGGCAGTGCTGTTGGGAGCAAGTATATTGTAGCATATATAATAGCATTTCAGCTGTGAAGTGTGAGATCTAGTTATGCCATTAGGAGAACAGGGCTGATTTGTTACATCAGATTTGTTCCATATTGAGCCATATAAGTGAAGTTTGAACCTGGGCCATAACTCATATACTAAAATCCACTGTAATTTTAAATTCTGCTTTACAATAACAACAATCAAATTACTTTTTAACAGTATCAGCCCATTGCTGTAAAAGCAAAGAACAAAAAACCCAAGATCACAAATTCAACAAAACCAATCAACAAGTAAAACTCAGCTAATAAATCAAAAAGCTATTAAGAAAGTATTTTTAAATTTTCATGCTTTTAATTATGTTTTCATACTAACCAAGATGTGTTCTTACTATGTTGCTTGGAGAACCTTATAACCAGAATGAAGGTAGATCTTTAGAGAGAGACTTTAGATGCGTGAGCCTGAGAGCTCCTGTGCTTGGTTACCCTACAGAAAGCCTAGCTACAATTCCAGCTAGGGCCAGGCACAACAGCTTAGCTCTGAGCCTTGATTTGCATGCCAGCTCCTCCCAGTGAAAGTCTTTGTCATCTGTTGTCTTCTGATGGTATTTTGATAATTTGTGATACCCTGTTTACTGAAGGCATCTTGGTTAGCAAGAGGGAGTGGCTGATTCACTTGAGGTGAGTCTAAAAAATGGAAAGAATGGGTAAAAGTACATTCATTACTCAGGTATGTGTCCAGCCTTTGCAAGAATACAATCAGGATGAGGGTTTGTACTCATTTGAAGTCGTGTGTGTGTGTGTGTCTTTGGTTTGGTTTGTTTTTTGTCAATGTTGTGCAAAGCAACAAGCCCGTTGCACAATCCAAATTAAATACAGAAGACTCAGTAAGTTGTTTATCATAGTGTTCCTCTCAGAAGTGCAAAGAAAATAAAATTGTTGTTTTGCCCTGGAATGATTTCCTTGCGTTTGGTCAAAGAGCAGTAGGGGTGATCCATGTGGCTTAGAACTGAGACTGCCTACTTTGTCGTATACACATTGATTTGTCCTGCAAAAGGGGAAACTTAGCAATTCAACAGTCTTGAAATTTTTATGATTGTGATGTTCCCTGCCTAGAAATGGAGTTCTGGAGTGTAGTGTGGAAATGAACAGCAGCAGGAGGCTTTAATGAAAATTGGCCATGGCAAAGAAAAGCAGGAACTTTAAAATGAAGATGATTATAAATGCAGTTCAGAATAATGATTATATACTTTTCATCAAGACTGACAGAGACTTCTTTACCCAGCTAGGAAAATTATCAACAGTGCAATGCAACAATCATGGTAGGAGATTGTTTTACTCAATACTTGCTAATACATAAAATAAAAATTATGGCTTGTAGGCTAAGTCTTACCTTAATGTTCCATTAAATCTTGGTTTTGTTCAACACTAAAAAAGCATAGAAGATTCAGAAGGAGACTTTTTTATACTTTCATTTTTATTGTTAGATATAAAATATGAACAGTTTTATATGAAAACAGTGCTACAAATTGATGAATTTGAGTGTTGGTATGGCCATAGTAACCTATTTTAGTTTATATTTCAAAGGAACTTTTCTGTGAACAAAGTTTCCTGCTTCAGAAAGAAGGTCACAAGCAGTATACAGTGACTTAGAGTTGATATGCTAATATATCCCTAAAGAATCCAGCAAATAATTCTGAAGAAACCAGCTATTTATACTGCAATCTCATGAAGCAAGACCTCTGGAGATACAATCTAAGAGTTTTGAGCTCTGTACAAGTACTAATCATCAGAAGAGCTTGACAGCTATGTAATTTTTCTCTCTGTGGGTTCCCACGATATATTAGTAAGGTGATTCATAAAACAAGTCAGCTACAGATTTAGGATTATAAATATGTGAACTAAGAGAAAATATTTTAATCATTTTCCTCTGTATTTATATGTAGCTGTACTTACTATTGAAATTGAGGAGAATATACCTAGAGAACAGTATCTCCTATAAAACATAAGCAATCTGATTTATCACCAATAAATTTCACATTGTTGCAGAAGTTATATTACATTGTACTTTAAAATGCAGGCAAAGCAAAGCCTCCTTCAGTCATGCAAAAGTGCATAGAAAGTGAGTATAAAGATTAAGTTTTGCCGTTTTATCATGCTTTGGGTTCTTAAGCTTTATTGCTCTGACCTGATTTTTCAAAGAGATGTCCACACTTCTCAAAGAGATGTCCAGTGCTCTGTGGTCTATTTTTCATTATTATATCCAGCATTTAAGATACCACTAACTGTTACTTTGTCACATGGTTATAACTTTTTCTTTCATCATTTTTGCTTCTGTTGGTGACTCCTGAATTAGTTGCAAGTGATGCCTCTGATGTTATCAAACTGTTGGCAGTGTTCATCTTCTGTCATGTGGGGTGTAATAACGCTTCATGAGTGAAAAGAAGTTGAGAAGTGTGTGTATGTGTGATTTATAAGTGCATCATTTGCACCCTGAACCATGCCCTGTGCATTTTAAATAGTGACACTTATTTCTAGCCAGCTGCTACAGAATATGAAGAAATTCATAAATGAAAGAATTTTTACTAGAAATTTCTCCTTCCATACCGAGATGAGAGAAAGCTTGCTGTTCCACCTGTTTCCCAGCTGGTTTGGGAGAGCAAATAGGAACTGCTAGAGCTTAGGGAGGTATCAAAATTGATTTTTAAGCTATCTCAACAGTTTGAAAATACATTTAACTAGATCACTAGGAAACTAAATTAATTTGGGACATCAGTAAGTCCATTAAAATTTCTCTATCTATTACATAAAGCAACAGGGAGCAAGAGCATCTAATTTAGACCCACATATTCCAAATTCAGCAATAAAAATTGAAAGACCATCTTTTTTTCCATTTCTAATGCCTGTTGGAAGTAGATAAGGGAGGCTTCATGTGTTTTCCATCCATTTGTATTCCTTCTTCCTATTACCTCTTAGTTGCTTTAGTATTTCAGGACACTGTGTTCCATTAAATAGTAGGTCTTTCCACTGTATAACCTCCACAGGGGTTACACAGTGTTTTCCAGCCTCTTTCATAGGTGGACTGGAAAAAATGAAAAGGGATCTTTCTCTGGAGAATAACATATTACTACATGGGAGTACAAACTTCTCCCCAGGGAACTGAAGTAGGTAAAAGAAGTGCAGTGCGTACAGGAACAATTGGCATAGGGAAACTGGAGAAGACAGGAAGGAGACTTGAAGCTGGTTGGTTCTGTGTATGAGGGTCAATGGAGTTTATTTCACTTAGCTGACAAATAAAAATACACTGTGTTTTCCCCTCCTTGAGATAAAGATCCTTCAAAGAAAGTGGGGAAAAAAGTAAGGTGGGAATTTTAAGTAAGTGAGGGGTGTGTACATAAGGTCAGCCATCAGCTATTTGTGTATGCAGGCAGGTAAAGGAGACCGGGCTCTGCTCTCAGTTTTCCCTTCAGCATTTGGGACATGGTGGATGTTACTTAAAGAAACTTTGTAGCCTACATATGTCACGGATAACCTTTGATGTCTTTAAATTATAGATGTTTAGAATAAAAGCAGAAGTTCAAATATCCTTGTTCAATTTAGAAATCGAGAACTGACTCTAATCTCTAATCCAATCTAGTATTTAGGCTTTTACCTCTTCTTGATTGCCTGATCAGTTCTGAAAAAGGAGAATCTTTTCATTTATGTTATTAATTCATGTAGTAAAGACCAAATCACTTCCTAACGGTGTAAAAATTAATCAAAGAAGTAAAAATCTTTTTGGTACAATAAACATTTATTGGGTAAAATATTAAAGAACTGAAAAATAAAATTTAAAGTAATTGGAGAATTAAATAACAAACAAAATCTCTGAAGAAATGAGGGAAAACTCATTTTTTGGGATTGTGGTTCAGAACATGTCCTTTCAGTGATGGAAAGCTGCAAGGAAGATAAAGCAAATTTTATGGCAACTTCTGGGATAAATTCTTTGCCAGTCATATAAGCTCAGATGAAGAAGAGCCATATGTGATTTTAATTAAACAAATGCATCGGTGCCTTCTAAGTGTTTAATGCTGGAATAAGCTATCTGCCTCAAAAGAGTGACAGAAGCAGTGCACAACATTACAATGCCAACATGCTGCGATGATAAGTGGCTGGTGATATCAGATACTGACTCTGAACAGGATCTTCTCAGTAGAGCTGTGAAAAGTTTTGATATCAGAATGGTGTGAAATGTTGATCATATTTGAAAAGCAAAGCAGAGCTCTTAAGTCTGCACTGACCCGGGACAAACAAGGCTGATGTGCAGGTGATAAATATGGTGGGTTGTTCCATTCTCATGGACCATTTACTAATGGGATATAATCTAATAATAATCTCTTCACAATTCACAATGCAGGGAACCAAGATTATTGTCTCCCAGCTCAGCTATTTTGAAAGAACAAAATGTTTTGGTTTAAAAACTTACATGTATGTTTAAAGAAAAAAAAAACCAAAAAACCCAAGAAAAACAAAAAAGGA